ATATGAGAAGATTTAGGACAGGAAGAAAAAAAAAAAAAACCTGTTCTCATGCTAAAAATGAAGCTAACTCAAAAAGCTAAATGTCACTTTACCTTGCAATCTACTTACACTATCAGCAGCTTAAAATATGCAGTGTAAACCTAAAAAAGAGGAACTCATATGGTACTATAGATAAAAAGTGAGCAGTGTGAGATGCCATAGAAAACATATGAATACTTGTATAAGCATTCTACAGAATGATAATATGTCAGAGAGTGGAAGAAATTAAAACGTATAAAAAATTAAGAGGAAAAATCAAACTGAATTAACATATACTCTTTCATCCAATACTATCTATTAAATTTTGACATTAAAATATGTACCATATGCTTAAGGGAAGATTACTCATATTTTGACCACATAAACTTAAAAATCACTATTTATTATTACATTACTAATATTTGATATCAAACAAGACATTGTTATGTTTGAAAGCTATTATATTCAAATGAAATAAAGTACTAGCTATAATTATAAACTGGGTACTTAATATAATAAAATCCTAGTTAAAATAAAAGACAGTATTCAATTTTGCTGTTATCTCTTAATTTCTACAAATATAATGATTAAGTTACTATATTATATTCCTGAAAACTATATAATGCCAAACTATAAAGATATAATAGCTTTGGTATATGTTCTGAATTAAAACTACAGAATCTATTGTCCATAAATTCTATTCTACAAAAATGAAAAATTCAACCGTATTTACCAAAAAAATTGCTCAAACATATGACTCTTAAAATTTCTCCTATGTCTCTATGAGTAGTTAGAAATAATAAATAAATAAATAGGACAATTCACATAGCATTTCCTAAATCACTGGAAGATACATTCTTATCACAGAAAAATAAAGAGTTTCACTGCAAATAAAAATTAAACCACTGCAGAAAGCATATTTAAAGTCACTGAATAGTGCTTAATATGCAATAAACATTATTCAATATATACAGAATAAAAGAGGTTTGTGTATGTGTTATATTTACTCATAATGTTAATATTATCAGATCTTAGCATAGGGGATTCAACACAGGCAGTCGTGAACTTAGCTGGATCAAGTGAAAAAAGTTTCACTGGCATTCTTTCTCAAAACTGTCAGAATTCAGAAGTTCCAAATGTTGACCTAAAGATTTAATTCATATAACTTAACAGGCATCCCACCAAATTCATTTAGTGGCTCTGCAGAAAAGGGAAAAAAAAAGTCACTTCGCAAGTTTAAAAAGACAGATTTGGGAGCAATGGGGAATTATAGCATTTATTACATGTGCATACAACACAATTTGAGTATTTGTTTGATTTGCTAAAGTACTGAACCACTATGTTGCTGAGTCTGTTTTGAATGAGAGAAAATAACAGGTGAGTTTATTTACTGCATACTTCAGATACACCTCTGTTTTACAAATCCTTTTAATAATTTTAAAGCATTTTCTAAATTAAAAATAAATCTCCAAAAAATACCAACACTTAGATTGCACATTTTTAAAGTACCCATAATATATATATTTCCCAGTATATATGGCATATAAAAATGTTTCACATTAATAATTCTAACATGAACCACTGTTTACTTCCTTTTCAGTCACATTTGTTACACTGCTACAAAAATACATGAGTTATTCTTTTCAAAGTAATTTTCCATATATATATATATATATATATATATATATATATATATTTACAATTGTGTTTTAGGTTTTGGGGTACATGTGAAGAATATGCAAGTTTGTTTCATAGGTACATACATGGCAATGTGGTTTGCTGCCTTCCTCCCCATCACCCATATCTGGCATTTCTCCCCATGCCAAAAATCATTGGCAATTTTTAAAATAAAGATCAGTCAAAATAATACCAATCTCCTCCTATAAAAACATATTCTGCCTATTAACTATTCTTATCTTGATTGCAAAACTAATTTTTAAAATAGACCACTCTAAAAATCTAATTTTAACAATAGATCACTCAAAAGTAAATCATTTGTTTTCCTTAATACAACAGAAAGCACATTTACATTGTGAAGAACATTCTACGAAATTTCATAGAATGCTTGCTCATAGTGAAAATCTATTCTCCTGCTCAAATCATCTCTATTTAAAATTCATTATGCCACATTTTCACACTCCTAATAGTGGGTCACTAATTATAATTTAGTGAGAATTGGTAAACTTAAAAATACTTCTGAGTTTTATCTTGCATTTTTTATTTCAAATGAAAAATATTTTAAATGCACATCCTTCATTTTAATGGAAGATGCATTATTTTAATGCATTCTTTGGCATAACTTTGTTTCTTGGGTCTTTTCAAGAAACAAGACTTATCAGACATTCTAAAAATGAGTATTCAATTTGTAAAAGATATGAACTGACCCTGAATTTTAGACGAAAATAGAAAACAATGGTAGACATTTTGGTCTCAACAAGAGATATCTTGTCATAAAAATCCATATAATACAGGCAAATATTACTCAAAAGTTTCCATTCAAATAATAAATCCTGAAGCAGACAAGATTCCAACCAATTAAATATACTGTGTCAACATGACCAAAGTTAGCAATAGCAGCAAGGATACAACTGTAAAGAAAATATCTAAGAGAGTGGAAAAGGCAAATGTAGCACCAACTTCTATAAGGAACAAAGCCATTTACTAAATGAGGCAGTTGTAAAAAGAATGATATTTCTATTTCAGAAAAAAATATTTCTTTACACAATGGTGGTCTGTGTGAAGAAAGAGGAAGAGAAGGGGGAGGTGGTGAAAGGTGTAAGTAGGAAAAACTAAGGCTGCCTGCCTTCCTTCGGTGATGCTGTGAGGGTAGACCCTCTGCCTTACAAAAACCACTGCCAGAACCAAGCTACACAAAACATTTTGGCTGCAAGCCTGTAACAGTGCCAGGCTGTTTTTCATTTTTGTGCTAGACTCCCTCAATTGAGACAGTGTGGGATTGTCACTTTGATGCACATAGAGAACAAAGAATAATATAGTTTGGGGGGGATTTTCTTGCCCCTTTAAAGTCAGGTTAGCATTTTGTTTTCTCTGACAGGTCTTGAAAAGACCCAAGAAACAAAGTTATGCGGAAGAATGCATTAACTGCCTACCAAAATTAACATCAAGTACAATACTGTCAACAGTTTAAAAGCCATGTGAAAGATTAACATTTTTTAAAAGCACACTTAAAAAGGGTCCAAGTCATATAGTTACCTGTTTAAGAGGCCAGAGACCAAGAAATACATGATTCACAATCACATAATCTTATTTAAAAATCTGATGCCACGAAGGCAGACCGTAAAATCCAGGCCAAAAAAAAAAATAAGTATTATTATTATTTTTAGGTCACTATTCAGAGACAACTACGTCAGCTGCTATTCTGACCTTGATTTCTCCAAAATTAAACAATCTGATGAAAAGATTATAACATTAGAATCTGAATACTTTAAGCCTTCACAGAGAAAGAGGTGGTAAGTGATCAAAAATTGTTTAAAGAATTAAACCACAAATCATCGAAAAAGTTGCCACAGACACAAACAGGAAAACCGTCTCTTCGATCCTATTCAATTCTGTACTAGAAGTGAAGCTAACATAAATAACAAAGCCGAGTGGGTGCTGCTGCAACCTTCAACTATATGTACTATATGAATGTGGTGACTAAAAGACACCAGTAAGCCATTAGCTCCTAGATGTATGACCTTTTTTCCTTTCTAATGCACGAGATGAGTAAAGGTAGAGCTCCATTTTCCACAAACCAAATGAAAAGAAAGAATGAACTGCGACAAGCTCAGATCCCATGCTGGCATACTGTACACTAAGCTCAGCATCATCTAGAAGCAGTATGCTTCTCCCTGCCAATAAGAGGGGGGGAAAGTTGTGCAACTAATATAGTATTGATAAATAGCACCAAACGTCTACTAGTACCTTCCTCCTGTACATTGCCATTGAATCAGCTGTTAAAAGACCAATAGCTGTTACAGAAATAGCAAGAACTAAACCTCTTGCCTCAGATGTTATACATGGAGGCATGGAGCATTTACCACCTGAGCCTATCTAATTTCCGGCAAAATGATCCCCTGCCCAGTTTTGTACACAGCCACAGAATCTGATAACAAGTCACGATCCGTGTTGAGAAAGGCAATGGGGGAGTGAGAACATGGGGAAGGAATCAAGTGAGAACAGTGGGCAAACTTCAAACAATATTCACGCTTCCCTTATTATTCAAATTAGTGCCCATGCACAGCACTTTAGAATGACAAAAGCTGTGTTAAAGGGCTCAGGTACAATGATTTACTTTGGGTGGTAGGGATAAGTCTGCCATGTAATTAAAGAATGCATTATTTTGCTCCTCACTGCTCGCTTTTTATATTTCTTTTTTCTCTAGGACATACTGCTGATGGTATTACTGCATGGGACACTGATAGTTGCAGGCAAGGCATTCATGTAGTGCCAAAGTGGTCTAGAGAATGATGTCTGGCTGGCCTTAGTTCAACAAGGAATATGAGGCAAAAACAGAAAACAGAAAGAAAAAAAGGTGTAAAGGAAGCCAGGCAATAGACTGTATTTTCTGTTTATTAATGGTGCCATAAAAAGGGGGTGAAATCTGGAAAAAGCAGCCAAGCTAACTCAATTACAAAGAAAGATTAAAGGAGTTAAATGTCTATAACTTGGCTGACAACCAAAGAACAATATGAGAGCTGTCCACAACTCTCCAAATAATATGCATAAAAAGAAAAGTAGAGAATTATTATCTACCATAGATGTATGAATATATGAAATAATAATGAGATAAAAATACAGAAATCTGACTTTAAGCAGCAGGGAAATAATCTGGTGAAACTTAAAAAAGGCTACTTCCTTCTCTTTAGAAATATCGGTCATCTTACTGACCCACACTGCAGGAAAGACATGACAGAAAATGCCCGCATACTGCCAGAGGACTGAATTGATGGAGATATAAAAATGAAGTCCCATCTGCTTACCTGATGATCCAGATATACTGATGCCCCTTTACATATGTCCAATCTGGCTAATGCAGAGATGCCTGTAAGATCACAAAAGTCATAGTTAGCAACTTCAAAATAAACCCAGCCTCAATTCTTAATCTTAAGCTAGTCAAGAACTGATTTGGATGATCTAGTCTGGCTCTTGCATATTCCAAGATTGGAGAAGAATGTGCAAGAGCAGAAATTTTCTGAGTGATTCTAAAATTATTCTTAATTAATATGGGATTTTCAGTCTCTCCAGAGATTTCCCTAATCACCTGTAACTCAATAATAATAATAATAATTCAGATTAGAGATCTTTAACCTTGATCATTGGATGGCCTTCAGGAATCTATGCACTCCTGAATGATATACTTAAAATTTGTGAGTTTATGTAAATAAGTATCTCTGGAAGAAGGTCAATAGTTTGTCAGATTTGCCAAAAGGTCCATAGTCCAAAAAACTGTCAAGAACCTCTGCTGAGGCTTGCCTAACATCTCAGAGGCAGGTTGGAATGCATATGGATGAGCACTCCAGGTTTGGGGGACCCCCCTCCCAGGGAAACACAGACACTTGCAGATCTGGGGTAAATACCTTAAGAACACTACTTTCTGGGAGGGCATACATCAGATTTAAACTGTTACTTAACTCATACAGCCCTGGGATCCCTGTAAGCCATGTACAATCTTGAAGAGAACTAAGATGTTACCATAGATACCCAAGGGTGCCTATCATGACTTTTCCTGTTCTGTGTATATTAAAGTCAGGATTCCTAGGAATATCAATTCTGACTGGGTCAGAACTCACACAGTGACTTACCCAAAAAGGGCCATTTATGACAAGTAAAAAACAAGGTGTGATCAAATCAATAGGAAATGTGGTTCCCAAACAGTTTACATAACAAAAAATTACAGGATTAGCCAAACAAATCTCTTAAAAGAGTTACTTTAAATAGTAATCCCAGAGTCAGAATAGGCTAAATCAGAAAGAAACAAGGTTGGAGAACCTTCCAGGTACCAACTGTGAACAAGATGGGAAAGCACTCACAGCCACAGAGAACATCCTGAACTGAGGTATCACCAAAAAGAAAAAAAAAGAAGAAGAAGGGGAAGCGGATAAGAGAAAAGCTGAAAAGACAGAAATTAAGTGGAAGAAGGGAAAAATTACCTTTTGAGGTGGCCTGTTTGAAATAATAATTATATAGTATATTCTCTCTAAAAATAATGTATTTAGACAATCACCTTCTGGGCGTCTACCATGCACTGCACTCAGTGCTGAGGACTCAGCAGTGAGCTAACAGGTCAACAAAGCCCTACTCTGCTGGAGCTTCACTTTGGCGAGTGGGAGAAAGATGCAGGGTGACAAGTATATCAGCAATATCATTTCAATTTGTGATATATAATATGAAAAAATAAACAAGATGTGACCAAGGCATGAGACATCAGCCTATACCCACCCAGCATGTCACAGAAATCTTCACTCCCATTCTCAGACTCTCTAAGAGTCTTACAGAGTTGAGACCAGGAAATGACGTTAGGGACAGCTAGCCACACCTGTGAATTTCAGAGAAGACAGAATAGCTATTCTAGAAGACAGTATCACTACCTCATTATCTCTACACTTCAAAATACACACACCTAGATTGAGTGGTAATGTTATGACACAAGCTCTGCTTTTAGACTATAAATCTGAGAACAAGTAAATGAATGGCATTTCTGTATCTCTTTAAAAACTGGCTGACAATACTGCACACTGTGTACCCTTAATACAAAGAACCACTTTGTATCCAAATTCTTGTCAAATTCCATTTTATTAAAAGAATTTCATTTTTTGCTTCTACAGACAAATCTGATCAACATGTACTATCAAAGAAAGGGGAGAAGAGGGTATATAAGGCAGCCAGCCTCCAAGAGAGCCCCCAGTAATCCTCACCTTAAGGAATTCATGCCTTTGTGTAATCCCTTCACTCATATCAGGGTTGGCCTGAGTGATCAAGAGGATGCAGCAGAAGTAATAGTGTCTTTCCTAAAAGATATTACAGCTTCTTCCTTACTCTTTTGGATCTTCCTGAGGGAAGCCAGCTACCAGCCGCCACATTGTAAGGATACTCAAGCAGTCCTAGGGAAAGGTACACAAGGCATCTTGCCAAAAAGCCAGAATCAACTTAACAGCCATGTGAGACAGCCATTTTCTAAGCAGATCCTCCAGGCTAGTCGAACTTTCAAATGACTGTCACTCTAGGTGACATCTTGATTGCAGCTCATGAAAGACCAAGTGCCAGAATTGCCCAGCCTGCACTTCAATCCCTTTCTAACATGCACTCTAACTTACTGTATTCACAAAGCTCAAAAACATTTCCCTGATCTTCTTACATCATGTCTTCCACAGGAGACATAGGTTCAACCAAATCTATTTAAGGTTTAAAAAGAAGTGAGCAAATCAAGAAAGTAGCCAACTAAAAATGAGTTCAAATCTTATAGTAAAGGTATTTTGTTCTTCTGAAACAACTATATAGATATGCTACTAACTGATCCCTAATCTTATAGGTTCTAAGTAGCAAATGGCAGTGGAGTTTCTACTAGAATAGTATCATGGGGTGTTTCTCATGGCTTGAGCTGTTCCTAGCTATTCACAGTCAACTTGGGTTCCTTGGCACTTCTGCAAATTAAGTAGCATGTGATACATCTCTGTAGGCGTCTCAAACTAGCTGTCGCCTGCATCTAAGAACCCTGCAACTAAGAACCCACACTCTACATATGCAAATTCTCCTGTCTCATAACACTTTCATTCCTATCTCATGGTTGACTCTCTTTTCCATTACTAATCCCTCCACCTGTACAATGAGTCCTAGTCATTTATGCTATTTCTAAGAACTTGCACCATCCATTTGCTCCCTTTCTATTCCACCGATTCCTTCTTCTTCATCAATATCACAGTTCTTCCAACCCTGTCAACTATCCCTGTGAAGCTTCATAAAATAATATAAGCTCGTTGTCTTTATTTCAACTTCCATTCAATGCTTGAACTACCATAACTTCCTTACCCATCACTGTACCAAAACCACCATTTCTAAGGCTGGCAAGAACCTATTCTCATTCCTCACTCTACAAAGACTGTGGCTTTGGCACACGTACCCACCACACCTCTTTGAAACTTTAATGATAAGATTACAAACCTCCAGCCTCAATGAAAGAATCTAGCATCCCAACTTCACACATCATCATCACTCATGCCCTCTGCACCTCCACCACCAGAGATACACAACAAATAGGTATACAGAGGCCATTTCAAATGCTAACACTATTGAAACAGTCTACCTCTTGAGGGCCTAACTGTTTAAAGACAACCAAAAAGATATACGTACTGTTTAAAAAAAAAAAAAAAAAAGTGGATTCTACAAACTATCAATATAGGAATATATTTCATTATTTTTCAGTTATTTAAGGAAAAATAAATGTTTGGAAGTCAGAGATTCCAAAAGAGCAGTGCTACAAAACCAGTTTACGACCTCTTAAAACAAACTTCCCAAAGCTAAGAGTTTAATTTTATTATTTAACATTTGCAAGCCAGAATATCTACAATTGCCAATCTAAGCTAGCATACCTGAGTCCTCTTGTTTTGAATGTAAAGTTGTCTATGACATCTGTCATGTCACTAACCAGAAGTGATGCTGCTGACTTGACTTGCGTGGGATGGGAGGGGAGTTGACCCATTCTTTCCTCATAAAGCTACTATCTCTCAAAAGGCTGGCCTCCCAGAACGATGTGAACCAAGCTTCTTTGGTCAGGGGCGTACATAGCCCTTTTCTTTAAACTGCTCAGAAGACATAACTTTTCAGAAAACCCACAAAAAGTGGCTTATTTTCATTAATTTGCTTTGCATTGCCATCACTCATTGTCTTCATTTTTAATTCAGTGATATTTATAGCCAAATGAAATGAATTACAGTCAGTTTTCCTCAATCTGTCTCAGTTCTACTCTTCATCTTCTGGGACCCAATTCATGTGATCCTTTAACAACTATTTATTTCACACCAAACTAGATATCTCCCTAAAGCCTACCAATCTAGCCTCTGGGCATATTTCCTAAATAAAAGCACTAGATCTCTGTAAACCTAAAATTTGCATACTAAAGGAACAAATCAGCTATCAAAAGACCTAGTAGTATACAGCAGTTGCTCACCTCTAAGCAGAATTTAAAATTCATTTCAATTTATTATTTTTTAAAGAAACAGCAATTGACTTTGTCCCTTTGCAAAATACAGTGTTTAATGGGCCTAGTTAAATTAGAGGTGATAGTGTGAAGCAAGTGTTTTAAATTGGTAAATTCTAAACCTTTTAATAAAAGTACATCAGTCAGAAGTTTTAATAAGACTCAGCAGGACAGAGAAGAATTAACAGTCTGTAGGAATCAAAAGGGGGTGATAGGCAATGATAACCTTAAACATTTGCATAGGGATTTATAATTTCATTGCTTAAAGGTTAATGAAATTATATGGTATTTTGTCCACTCTTATCCAGGAAATGATTTCATGCCTTGATTTGTATATATTTACCAACTGAATCATACAAAGAAAAAATGACTCCTTTATCAAATAATCTATTACATTTTTATTTATATACTCCTGGGTGCACAATTATCATTTCCTACTCTAACCAATAACTGCGCCATCTAAAACAAAATGTAAGGTTTCCAAAGCATCTCAGAAAAAAAGAATAAACTCATAATTAGAACTCTTAAAGTACATTAAGTTGTTAATGTGACTGCTTTTTTAAGAATTAGATATATTACTTTATTTACTTTATACTTCAAGTCAACTATTGCTAAATACTTGCTTTTGACAAATATAAACATAAAATCCACCCTAGAGATTGATGAAGGCATTCAGGATACACTGAGGGTGCAGATGGAGAAATGCAAACAGTGCACACAAACAAGTATAACAGGTAAATTAGTAAAAGGACTCTAGGCTGAAGCAATTGTTTTAAAACTTAACGGCAGAAAAATAACACGCTACTAAGGCCTTGCCTCACTGGGCATCCAGGAGGGTACAAGGTCAGCCGCTTCATTTAATACCCAGTTCGTTCTAAGACAAAACTGCAAAGAGCCTCACTTAGGCAGAGTGGTGCTTCCTACCCTGGCTGCACGCTAGAATCCCCTAGACAGCTTAAACAAAAACCTAAAAATCAACAACACTTAGGCCCCATAACCAGAGATTCTGGTTTCATCAGTAATTTATAGGAGCTCATCAGGATGATTTCTTAGGTGCAACTAGGGTTGAGAAATATGCCAGAATGCACTGGTTCTTGAAGAGTGGTCTCTGGACCAGCAGCAGCAGCAACAGCAACAGGAAACACGTTAGAAATGCAAATTCTCAGGCCTCACCCCAGACCTAGTGAATCAGAAACTCTGGAGTGGGGCCCAGTGTTTTAACAAGTCTTTCAGATAATTCTCAAATGCACTAATGTTTGAAAAACACTGCTTTAGGGTAAGAATGGCCTGGTTTTCAATTCTCTCTCCACAATTTACTAGCTATATGACCCTTGGTCAGCTCTCTCAACTTCTTTCCTTACATGCAAAATAATATCATTTATTTAACATCGAATATGTGTCAGAGTGTGCCAATAAGCATTTTATATACACTATATAATTTAATCCTTACAAGTTTGTCAGATAGATGATTGCCATTTTACACCCAAAGATTATGAAACTCATCCAATATTACAAAGCTAGTAAGCAGAATCAGAATTTAAATTCAAGTTTTTAAAATTCCAGAAATAGTACTCTTTCCCTCAAAATATTCTTGCTGACCTTTCTTCTTTGTTCTTCCTTCCATCTTCTTTCCTTTCTTTTCTTCTGTTTTGTCTTCCTTTTTGTCTTTCTGTCCATCTTCCTTTCTTACTTTCTTTAGGAGGAAGCTTGTCTTGCTACTATAAAGCTAGATATTACCTAGTTTGTATAGTATTTATTGTGTGACTACAAAGTACTTACCATTCTACCATATGCTAGAAAGAAAAGAATTAAAATACAAAAAAAAAAAAAAAAAAAAAAACAACGAAGAACAATCATAGTAATGAAGTTATAAGCTAGCTGGAGATAGATCAATTTTGTAAAACGTAGGGACACATATAATTTCATTAACTGGCGGGGAGAAACAGAAATAGCTCAGAAGTTCATGAGATTGGTGCTCGGAGACCAAGGCATGATTCCAGGAAGTGGAAGTTTGACTTGCCCTGAAACAAGAAGGAAAAGGTTTCTCCAACACAGGAGGAGAAACAACAGCTAGAGAATATAGGACAACAGAAAATAAAGCTAAAGCAGTTAAATGGGTCCAGATTGTGACTTAGAATAAGAAGAGCTTAACGTTAGTATAGTAAAACATAAAGTGTTTTTTTCACAGAACATTTTTGATGAACTGATAGTAAAGAGGTAAAGTTAAAATCAAGTCATAGGAGCTTACTCTAGAAAAAATATGAACCAAGGGTTATGCTGAAAAAAAAAAAAAAAAAAAAAAAACAAGTAAGAGAAAAAGTTATTTCTATTATTAAAAGTGTTAAGTGTGATCCACTCTTTACTATTTCCAGGGGCTATTCATATCCATTACATAATATTTTCAATCATCCACTAATCTAACCAAGACTGACCGATCACATTAAGCTAGGTACCAAGAATAAAAAGATAAGTAAGCTTCTGACTCCAGGCACATGAAGCAGCTTTACGTAAGAAAGACTGCCAAAGGTTTTATGCAACATTAACATAAGGTTATTAGGCATTCCAAAGGCCACTATAGACAGACCAATTCTTAGGAATGACTGCTGTGAAATTCCTGAAAGTCAATGAAGTATAAGCTACTCAAAATGTTATGCATATATCATAAAAGAGGCTGGGAGCAGTGGCTCACGCCTGTAATTCCAGCACTTTGGGAAGCCAAGGTGGGCAGATCACTTGAGGTCAGGAGTTCAAGACCAGCCTGGACAACATGGCAAAACCCTGTCTCTACTGAAAATACAAAAATTAGCTGGGCTTGGTGGCATGTGCCTGTAGTCCTAGCACTTTGGGAGGCTGAGACTTGAGAATCACCTGAACCCAGGAGGTGGGAGTTGCAGTGAGCCAAAATTACACCACTGTAATCCAGTCTGGGCAACAGAGCAAAATGTTGTCTTTTTTTTTTTTTTTTTTTTTTAAAGAGTATTCTCTCTATACTAGCATCCTAGCATCATAATCATCAACTCACAAATGGAGTATCCCCAGTTAATCCACATTTAGACTTACATATGGCTAAGAAAGACAGGCAAACATAAAATTTAGAGTTAAGCTTTTTTTCTTCTTCATCTTTTTCTTTTTTTTGAGACGGAGTCTCACTCTGTTGTCCAAGCTGGAGTACGCTGGCGGGATCTTGGCTCACTGCAACCCCCTCCTCCCAGTATCAAGCAATTCTCCTGCCTCAGCCTCCTAAGTGCTGGGACTACAGGCATGCACTACTATGCACTGCTAATTTTTGTATTTTTAGTAGAGACGGGATTTCACCATGTTTGCCAGGCTGGTCTCGAACTTCTGACCACAGGTGATCTGCCTGCCTCAGCCTCCCAAAGTGCTGAGATTACAGGCCTGAGCCACCACGCCCGGCCATGGTAAGTTTTTTAATATTCACATCATATATTCCATTTTGTACTGAAGACTTAACCAAAAACTATGCTCAGAAACCCACAGGAAGATTCTACCTATGTACTGAGGAAAAACTGCAAGGCACAATGGGATGACTGCATTTATTAGCATCTAAAATTTCTAACTCTGTCAGTGACAGCCCAATGCTGTATAACATCTTTCTCTTTAGTTTTACTATAATCTGACAACTCCATAATGCTCATTTATCTCCAAGAACCAATTTAAGATACATATATATATAGTCACCAGGCTATGCTTCAATGACAAGGCACTAAGGGTTATTTTTTCTCAGATTAAATGTGAACTGAATTTGCTATGATATTAGAAATGATAGCATTTTGCAAACAACATATTTAAGAAACAGTAATGAATCTCTATTAAAGCTGTTTATTAATAACCTAGACAAATATCATCAAAGAACTGAATCCCAGCTGTTAGAAATGACTTGAAAGGTCACCTGGTAAAACACTGGCTTTCATCCCATATGGTATCTAGGTCATATACAGCATTAAAATTAAAACAATGATATCAACAGACATCGAAGTACTTCAAGTGATAATTTATCTGGTCCCAATATATCCAATTCATATATTCTACTGTATTTTACTAAAGTTCAATTGCCTATCATCTCATTCTTTAATAATATAAACTATACGTGACAATGTAGCAGGACTAAAAGGTTGGTACTTGACAGTGGTTTCATCTCAATAAAAGTGATTGGTACAAAACCATCTTTTAAAATATTCAGACCATGCTATACAGATATTCACATGCACTTGGATCTGTAAGCACTAAAGAACTTGTTTAGATTTACTGGTGCTATACCTGCTGTCAAAAAACAAGAAAGTTGTGAAGGTTGATCAAACACATTTTTGCCTCAAGTATCATGTAAATGTTTTCCACAAACGCGCCCCTAAAAGTTAACAGTCAAAGTAATTCAAAGGTTTCTCTTTATTTCTATATTTAAATCATCACAAGTTTGATCAAGCATGCAAATCCCTTTGGGCTCAGGGTTCCCATCAAAATGTCTTATAGAAACATTAAAAATTGAATGGGCATAAACAACTCCAACAGTGCGGAGCTCATGACAGCACTGCTGTGATCTATGTGTTTCATGTACCACAACATTGGGGAAGTTTGCAAGGGAAGATGAGCAACTAATTACTGTCTTTTGCTTGAGGGCAGGTGTGCTGATCTCTACAGGTGTCTCTGCAGTGCTCTGCCTAATGTATCACTTCTTGAAGACATTCACTGTAACAACTTGCTAAAGCCCTGCAAAACATCTGACAGAATACCAAAATGTTGGGTGTTCGGGAAGAGATATGCGTGACTTCTTAAAGTTAACACTAAGGAGAAACAGCAGTTGGGGGAGGCTATGTATTGCTTGTGAAAGAATAATATAAAAAGTAAGTAACATAAAACTATTATCAGTCATACACATTAAAGTAGGATACTAATATTGTCTTAGTAAGTACAGAAAGTTTTTCAAAGAAAATACAGCTATTCTCGTTAAACAAGAAATTTTTTAAAAACCCAAATAATAATCTTATAATGCATCATCATTTTCATTTGTAAAAGAACAGTAGACAGTGCAGGATATTCAGTTTTACAAGTATAAAAAAAAATATGAGAAATTAGCCACTATAAGAAATTAGTAAATTAAATGGTCATCTGATGACAGGGAAGGTGAGAAAAACCGTTGACATGTGATGCCACTTGCAGGATTAATATTCCTTAAGATTTTTCATTTAATTTGGAAAGAAGCAAGCTTAAGGATGAAGAGACACATCAACCAGAGATAAACATTTCCTGCTTTGCTGCCTGCTAGCTGCATGATCTCTGACAAGAAATGTAACCTCTTTATACTTCTATTTCCTCGTCTAATAATAAACAACACCCACCCCAATAGGGTTATTATTAAATGAAACAGTGTCCCTTCACTATTTGGCACAGGGCTTGGCATGAAGTAAGTGCTTAATAAATTGTAATTGGCATCATGAAAATTTCCAAAAGACATTAGTCTCCTATCATTAGTGAAGCATAAGTCTGTCTAAAAGCATCTTGGAAAGTAAAGACTCATCAGTGGAATGCTATTTTTAAAATATGTGATATGTTATATGGTACATCTTTTTAAGGATAAATATATGGCCTAGCTTTTAAGAAATCAGTCAATAATCGACATGCAAGTAAAACCTTTAACTAATTCTTTACTTTTCCTGAGTGATCATTCATCTTGGTGAAAAGTCCCTATTTGTAATGTTGAAAATTTGTACAAAATTTGGCACAAAATCATCCTTATATTCAGACCATGCTATATAGATTTTCACATGCACTTGGGATTTATAAGCATTAAAGAACTTGTTTGTGGAAAAGTTCATTATTTTCTTTTTTTTTTTTTCAAACATACCTACTTTATTTAATTTTCACCAGTTTCCATTCTTGATGGCATTTTTTTCCTGTGCTCTAGGATTCAAATCAAGCTTATGCACTGCATTTAGTTTTCATATCTCTCCCTTCTTCCTCTCTTTTTATCTGGCAATTTTCTTTTTAATTGGGGGGAGTAACTTTTAATTTTGATACAATTTGCAACTTCCAGAAAAGGGCAAAAATATGAAGGACTTCTATCAATTCTTTTAATTTTAGAATAGGAATAATTTCTTTTTTTTTTTATTTTAGAATAGGAATAATTTTTTTCCCATTTCTTTATTTTATTGCATTTTACATTTTGGGGTACATGTGAAGAACATGCAAAATTGTTGCATAGGAACACACGTGGCAGTGTGATTTGCTGCCTTCCTCCCCATCACCTACATCTGGCATTTCTCCCCTTGCTATCTCTCCCCAGCTTCCCACCCCCCACCGTCCCTCCCCTATTTCCCCCCAACTGACTCCAGTGTGTAGTGCTCCCCTCCCTGTGTCCCTGTGTTCTCATTGTTCAACACCCGCCTATGAGTGAGAACATGCGGTGTTTGATCTTCTGCTCTTCTGTCAGTTTGCTGAGAATGATGGTTTCCAGGTTCATCCATGTCCCTACAAAGCACCCAAACTCATCGTTTTTGATGGCTGCATAATATTCCATGGTGTATATGTGCCACATTTTCCCTATACAGTCTATCGTCGATAGGCATTTGGGTTGGTTCCAGGTCTTTGCTATTGTAAACAGTGCTGCAATAAACATTCGTGTGCATGTGTCCTTATACTAGAACGATTTGTAATCCTTTGGATATATACCCAGTAATGGGATTGTTGGGTCAAATGGAATTTCTATTTCTAGGTCTTTGAGGAATCGCCACACTGTCTTCCACAATGGTTGAACTAATTTACACTCCCAACAACAGTGCAAAAGTGTTCCTATTTCTCCACATCCTTTCCAGCATCTGTTGTCTCCAGATTTTTTAATGATCGCCATTCTAACTGACGTGAGATGGTATCTCTATAGTTTTGATCTCTGTAGTTTTGATTTGCATTTCTCTGATGACCAGTGATGATGAGCATTTTTTCATATGTTTGTTGGCCTCATGTATGTCTTCTTTTGTAAAGTGTCTGTTCATATCCTTTGCCCACTTTTGAATGGGCTTGTTAGTTTTTTTCTTGTAAATCTGTTTTAGTTCTTTGTAAATTCTGGATATCAGCCCTTTGTCAGATGGGTAAACTGCAAAAATTTTTTCCCATTCTGTCGGTTGCCGATTCACTCTAATGACTGTTTCTTTTGCTGTGCAGAAGCTGTGGAGTTTGATTAGGTCCCATTTGTCTATTTTGGCTTTTGTTGTCAATGCTTTTGGTGTTTTGGTCATGAAGTCCTTGCCTACACCTACGTCCTGAATGGTTTTGCCTAGATTTTCTTCTAGGGTTTTTATGGTGTTAGGTCTTATGTTTAAGTCTTTAATCCATCTGGAGTTAATTTTAGTGTAAGGTGTCAGGAAGGGGTCCAGTTTCTGCTTTCTGCACATAGCTAGCCAGCTTTCCCAACACCATTTATTGAACAGGGAATCCTTTCCCCATTGCTTGTTTTTGTCTGGTTTGTCAAAGATCAGATGGTTGTAGATATGTTGTGTTGCCTCCGAGACCTCTGTTCTGTTCCATTGGTCTATATCTCTCTTTTGGTACCACTACCATGCTGTTTTGATTACTGTGGCCCTGTAGTATAGTTTGAAGTCTGGTAGTGTGATGCCCCCTGCTTTGTTCTTTTTGCTTAGAATTGACTTGGCCATGCGGTCTCTCTTTTGGTTCCATATGAAGTTTAAGGTGGTTTTTTCCAGTTC